TTCTGTTAAGTCCAGAAACATTTGAAATGAATCTTCCTCACAGTATTTTGGCACACCTACATTTATTCCTGGCTGGACTTTAGATATGTACAATAATTTGAAATTTGAAAAAATAAGGACATAACTACATGCTTGTGAGCCCTGAAAGAATTTCACTATTGGATTGTTTTCTAGTCTTCTTCTAAATTGTAGTGTCTTCAATTTTCTGGCAGAGGTTAACAAGAACACTCTACACCAGATCCCTTCTTTTTCTTTTTTATTTTATTTGCTTGTTTTTCTCCCCACAAGGCACATTACACCTCTATTCTGTTGTCCTACTTCCTTCTATTAATTTAAATTCATCTGGAACAATCCTTGCTTTTCACAGGGAGGCCTTACACTTGAAGATGTGAATAACTTAAAGGAGGAAGCCAGGTGAATGCAAAGGACAGCAATGCATAGAGAATTAAGATTTCTGAATATGCTGATTGTCAGTGAGTCTGCAATATCTTCTGGGTTTATCTTTTAGATTAACATGGAAGAAGCATTACTTCACAGAGCTTGTAGACATTCTAGAGCTAAGGTGGCAAACAGAAATAAAATAGCTGTAGGATCTGGTGATATCAGCTTTGTAGAACAAAACCTGAGTCTTTCCTTCAGCAGCTTCAGGAACCTTTTCAGCTAAATCTCTTGTTTCTGAAGAGCAAAAATATTCAGAGAATATTTTTTATAAAATAAATAGATTGTCGTTTACGGCAAATGCTGGAGCAGGAGGTGGTGCTGGGGGAACACCATCCCTTTGAGAGAGCAGTGACAGATGAACTTCACTGTACCACAAAACAGTATTTTGAAGTACTTTATCACCTGCATGTTGTGTACATGACCCTGCACACAGATTGTCCATTCAGCCCACTGAGTCTGGTGACTGAAAAGGAAAGTTGGAAAATCCACACGATGGGTGCACAGTGATCTAAACCTGTCCAATAGGGGAACACAATTGAACTGGTTTTGAAAAATGATTTTTATCTCAAGTTTAAGCTTCTCAAGGAATGTGTCTGCTTACTTGAGATTCAAGGTTGACAAAACTCTCCAGAGCATAGCCATTCTTCCAAAGCACTCAGCAGACTCAGCTTTCTTTTTTTGGTGGTCCTTCATCATCCATACAGTTGTGAGGCCTAAGAACAAGAGGCCCCCACACTGCGCTGCTTCACTGTGAGACTCCATCTTGCTGATCTGTGTGGGTGCAGCTCCCCACGGTGTTCTCCACACACAAATGAAAGTTCAAGGGACCAGAAAGAGAGATTTAGGATTGAAAATTAAAACAAATGTCAGAGCAAAGAGGGTCTGAATTTGGTACATCTCCAGATAAAATTATCGTACAATTAAGAAAAGCCTCAGCCCTGTGCACATGCTTAATTTCATACACTAAGCCTATTCACCATGTGGAGCTGAACAAATGCACAAGTGTTGTCAGAGCTGAGGTCTGTTACACTGCTAGGAGATATGCATGCCGTTTCCATAAGCCACAGCAGCAAAGACATAATTTAATAAAAAAGACTTTTGTTCATGTCTATTAAAAGAAACCTATAAATCCTTCAAATGGTACACTTAGGATTTGGTCCAAAAGTTACTTAAGCCGATGGAAAAGCTGTTATTGATTTTAATAGGTATTTATTATATTTGGCTATTCCTTCAGCCGTCACTCTTTCCCTCTCTGTCATCTCAGCTGAGTTCCAGTCCTGTCTCCTGTATCTTACCAATATGTGGACAGCATATGTTGTTTAAATGAGAGACTTGTTCATTAGTTTATGTTTGAACCATGCCAAGCACGTCCCAATCCTAACTGGATGCTAAGATGATGGTAATAGATGACATAATTACAGTAATAATAAAATCTTGTGTTCAGCCATGTTATATGCTGTTTTATTCCACAAAAAACAAAGAAAAGGATTTAACATACAAACAATAGGGAAATACACATCTAAGCAAAAGCACTATTGTGAATAAACTCTCCCTGTTTCTTTGTAGTCTGTTCTGTTGACAAGAGCAACTGCAAGTGTTAAACTTATTTGGTTTGTGTTAATTTATTATTTCTTTACCTTTGGAAAGAGCTGCTTGAGTAAATCACTTTTCTGAATGGTTCTTCTATTTTCAAGAGACCATGTAAGCACAAACAGGGGATTATAAAGACTTAACAAAGCAGATAAGAGTTTATCTTTTATTTTTTCATAAATTTTCTTTTGTAAACTGACATCAAAGCTGACAAAAAAGCTTGTCAAACTTTTGCTGGTATTTACTCTGCAGTGGTTGAGGCTTACAAACAAAGCAATTGACAAGCATTTTTATTTTTCAGTCACATTAAGTATGGACTTTTGATGACCAGAGGGTTTAGGTTTTGGTTCAGCAGCCCTTAGCTAGATTTTAAGCAAAGACATGTATTTAAGTCCCTTTAAATGACCCTTTTTTTCTTAAGTGTTTGTACCAAGCAGATCTAAATAACATTTCCTGGAGCATCAGCTTCAAATTCTTGTCAGTGAGTAACTTCCAGGAGGTTTTGATTGTGCCTTGCCCTTCAGTGACCATTCCATTCTGCTCCAAAGAAACACTCCAAAACAATCTGCATGTTGACCAGGAAATTTCCTTCTTATTTGTACAAATAAGACACTGAGGAGAGGACCTGGACTGAACTCAGCTTTTCTCTGAAGCTTTTGTGTCAACGGGGGATTAACTGTGTCCTTTTCTGAAAGGAATGCTGTTTGCCCTTTCCAAGGCAAAGTAGAGTCTTGCTTTGTTCTTAAAATAATATCCAGGAGCTACAGTATTCCCGGGAATACAGGAGAGCTGCACTCAGCTCCCACTTTTGTCTGAAGTTACTGCAGTTGGCATCTACCAGCACCTTGAGGCTACTGGGTCCCTGCTCCTGTGAGGCTGGAGAGATTCTCCTGTATCTGCTTCTCTGTGATACTCAGTGGGAAAAAGAGACCCAGGTGCCAATTTCTGCTTCATAGTTTGCTTTGCTTTTAGCAGCCAGGGGATAAAATATCATCAAAACCCCCTTGGGAACTGTGATTTCTCTCCTGCCACAGGGAGTGGCATTACCAGTAGCTTGACATTTCCCTCTTTGGACTGATGTCAGAGGCTTTTCATAGAAAATGTTGTGCTACTGAAGCTAAAAGATCTCTACATAGAAGTAGCAACTGAGCAGGAGTTTTCAGGATCAGAGTTTTGGATTACCATCAGCCATTTCTTTCAGTCCTGCTCAATTGGATCTTTCAGTTCCCACTGACATAAAGATGGACTGAAAATAATAATTTTCACATAGGATTGAAACTTACATGGCCCGGGAACTCAAGAGAAGATAAACAGAATTCATACGCGAGGTAGTGAATTAAAGCAGCTGAAGAGAGAAAGAAAAGAAAAGAGAAAAGCATTAGGGCTTCTCCCTCCTCCTGAATTTGGCAGGTTGGGTTTACTTTGTGATGCCAGACAAATTTTCTGTCTGAAATACATTTGCTGAAAAGTCTGTTGTAATCCATAAAATGGCTTTAAAGTACAAAGGAGGTACTTCCAGAGAGACCAGAAAAACTAGGGGAAAAGAGAGGTGATGTTGATATTTTAATGAGCATTCTTCTCCTCATTGAGAGAATATCTACCATGTACCATTACTTTACTGAGAGCACAGAACAATTATTGTCCATTCGATCACTATTTTTCTCATCGCCAGGCTGAAAGAGAAATAGCACACACAAACATGCATGTATACACTTGCACCACATGCAGATCCTCTTTCTCTCTCTCTCTCTCTCCCTCTCTCTCTCTCTCTCTCTGACAGTTCCCTAGAAAATTCCATCATACCTGAGTTTATGAGCCTTGGATCATCTATGGCCAGTGGATTTAGTAATAAACAGAGTGGAAATGTTCTTCATCAGAGTTCAAAGGAAATTTCGACCAGCCCCTGCCAGACATTGCTTCCCCCTGGCCCCTCAGCATTTTACTGTAATGACTTCCTTTGAGTGGAAAGAAAATGGAAAGGAAGGCAGCTTGTACACACTTTAAAATGTGTCTCTAAATATAGGAATCTCTGTAAATGAACGGCATCAGGGTGGTTTTATAGTGCAGCTTTTCATGGTCCTTTTGCCATGCTGGAAATATGGTGCCTGGGAAGCACCTGCAATGTGTTGAGGTGTGAGCCTAAGGGCTGAGTGAAGGAGCTGTATCGCTACATTTAAAACAAAAAATTGCATCTTTGAATTCCCTCTTATAGCCTTTGACCATTGAAAATCTGCCTCTGTTGGGCAAAAACTAAAGACACACCTTATCTTTCCATAAAATGCTGTGCAGTCCCACTATAAATCCCACTGGACATAGAACACCTTTACATATGAGAAGAAAGTGTTGCCAACACTGTTAGCTCAATCTACTTCATTATATACTGATATTCAGAGCTACTAAGAGCTCCCCACCCTCTTGGATGTCAGCAGGTTTAAATGTCTCCATTTCAAATACTGGAAAATAACGATGGACTTTATTTCTGTAGATTGTGTGGTGAAACCATAGCACTTGGAAGGACAAACATTTTAAAACACTGCATGGACCCAAAGGACTGCCTTGATTACTTTTATGCATGTTATAAAAATACCAGACATGTATTTTTATCTCACTTTGAAGGTATCCATGGACTGGAGGTAGGTTATAATACTTTCAAAGAACCTTGAGAAGTGAGAATTATAGGCCCTTCAGAGAATTACCTATATCCCTCTAATAAATTCTCATGAGGTTTATCTGAAGATGGTGGTGATGGCTCAGAGAAAGCCATGAATTGCCTGGGGGACATCATAGCGACACATTTTCCCCTGTGACAACCAAGGGGATACTGGGGAGCACAACAGAAACAGCACACATTAGGTAATGCCCCCCATCAGATTGCAGATGTGTGAACTAGTTTGAAACTTTTATTGAGGCTTTTATTAGGCTGTGATACAATCCCAGGCTCTTTGCAGTTGCCAGTGTAGCCAGTTGCTCACAAGTTATAACAAGTTAAAAATACCTAATGCTCAAGCTATTCTACACTTAGGGGTGGAGAGTCCCAAACAGATAATATTTTGGGTGGCTAAGTGGCCAGGCTCCATCTGTGTCTTGTGATCCTGCTTGTGAAAGCCATGGCACTAACCACAGCTGTTTCACTTGATTTGAAACAGCAGCAGAGGTTCAACCTAAGCAGCAGTCTTGCAAATCCTTGCTGATGATGTAAATGCTCTTTAAAATATTGATAAACTAATGGTTATGTAGAGTTTTTGGTTTGTTTTGCTCTGTTTTGTTTTGTTTTGTTTTGGTTTGGTTTGTTTTGGTTTGGTTTGGTTTGGTTAGGTTTGGTTTGGTTTGGTTTTGTTTGGGTATTTTAACCCTAATTACCTACTTAAGTTAATGTGATTGATAGCTTTGGTACACTAAATTTTCTTTAAACGTAAAACACATGAAAAGTTATAACTGTAAGTTATTACCAAAAGTTGTCTTGGTCATGTATCTTGCTTCTGCCAAAGTGACTCAGTCCTAACAGAAGTTGTCATGTCTCTGTGAGATGGTTTGGTCTCAGTAACTTCACTGTCAGCTGGAGAGCTGGGCTGCAGCAACAGGGGTTTAGTGGGATGGGGGGATATGAGGAGGATCTTCATGGTGGTAGTGAGGAGGGGCCAGTGGTACATCATCTCTCAGAGCACAGGAGCTAAAGGAACCCAAGGAACTGGTCAGATGGCAGGTTCTGAAATAAGTAAAAAGCCACAATTATTTGTGCACTCTGCACGTGGCTGTTAAGTGATGAAACTCTTTGCAACAGAATGCTGTAGCTACCAAAATTTTACATAAGTTCAAAAAACATTAGACAAATTATTGAGTCAAAGAAGCATTGAATACAGTGAAAAACACCAGCATACAATCTCAGGCTCAAAAATTTATAAACCCCAGTGTGAGGGAAGTTAGTATGATATACTCGAGAAAAATCATGGCAACTTCTCCATGTAACCACAGGCTCCTTCAGGAAATGAGAGAGCAGAGTAGATGAACCACTAGGTTAATAATTGTATTAAATTATTATCTTCTTGATATTAACAACTAAGCTAAGCACAATCCAGCCTGAGAGCCCTTGGATGGCTATGACTTCATGCGCAACTATTAAAGCTTTGCTAGAAAAGAATTCCAGAAAATCTCCTGGAGTCTCCAGATTTTCATAAATTGGATAATTCTATATAGTTCAGTTTAGACAGATGAGTATGTCTTTCCATGTGGAAACTTTAAAGCAAGCACAGAATGACAGTTAGAGAGCATCACAGCAGACAGGAAAAGATGGTGAGAAGAAGAGAGAGGGTGGCAACACTTGCAGGGATCATGAGTAGGAGATGGATTCTTTGGTCTCTTTTGGGCCCTTTCCTGTGCCTGAGGAGAATTAATTGCTCCAAGCATCCAGCTCTTTTCAACCCTATCATTGACCATAGCAGCAGTAACAGAATGCATCCCCTGGGCCCATTTTTGCATTTACTTTAAGCTTTTCATTGTAAAATCAATGCAAACTGGCTTTAGTATAAGTGAGGATTAAGCGTTGCATATATCATTATAAAGTCACCGGGGACCACAGTAAAATCTAAGATATTATTATGCACAATTGTTGAATCAGCTCCCTTTAGAACCTGATTATCTTTTTAAACAAATTTTGTAAATGAGCTGTAATATTTTATATCCACTCAAATCTTTTTAGCCCAAAGCACTTAACAAGCTTAAAGACCTGGAGGGGGAGCCAGCTTTTGTTCTGTGTGCAGGAGGTACCTGGCACGATGGAAGTCAGTCCCTCACTCAGGTTCCCTTGTGTTGCTGCAACAGCAATACCCTCGAGAGTATGAACAGCAGAAAGGAAATACTGACGTTTCTGGGTCAGAAAAATGCCAGACAAAGAATAAATAAAGAAAGCTTTGATTTTGAAATAAGGAGTTACAGAAAGTAACCAGAATCTAAGCTAAAGAGAGATAGATTTTGAAGGCTGAACTAAAAGAGTAAGCTCATTAACATATGCATCACAACCTTTTTATGATTAATTCTATCCTGCCAAGAATCAAAAATGATTCTAAATAAGAGTAAGGGTTTGAAAATGCAGATATACATACCCATTTATACCATATAGATATGCATTTATAGACAGGATACAGGACTTGAAGAATTCTTTCCCATTTTTAAAAAGAAATACATAAGTATGCCCTATAAATATATGTAATATTCATTTATACTGTTTGGAAAATAAGTGCCATTTCTTATTGATATTCTGATTAAATATTCTAACCAATATTTTTAACAAACTCCCAAATAGCTATGCGGATCTTCTTGATAGGAAACTGGGATCTCTAGCCTTCTGTTAGCAAGCCTAGTGGGCAGAACATGCAAATGGAGGTGTTTACATGAAAATTCAATCATTTGCAAATGGAACACATCTGCAGTTTGAACCATGCTGAGTGGTGGTCTGTACCCTGAATATTTTCTGCTTTGCCTGGGCAGGTAAGCTGAGGAATGTAACAAACATGGGCACTGTTTGAGGAAGTAAAATGCTATTGGATGTCATTATTTTTCTTCTTGTCTAGAAGGTAGAGGAGTTCAATTTTGAATATTCTCGGTATTTTAGAATACTTGTCCTTAATTTAAAATAGTCTGACTCTCCAAAGTCAGACTCCTTCATGACCCAGTGGAAACATACACAACCCTTTGCAAATGCGAGCAAAAACTTTGAACACCCTCGTTTTGGTACAAATTGGTCAGTCTGCAAATGGTTCAATTGGGCGAGCCTCTCAACCCTCCCAACTTTCCCTCCCAAACAACTTCAGGGAAGCCAGTTTTGTGGTAATATAAAACCAGATCAGAACCTAAGCATAAACTTAGTCGTCAGTGTCTCTGAGCATTTGAAATCATGTCATTGGGATCATGGAGTCTATTCCTACAGCCACCAGAAGTCCTGTTTGTTTGAGTGCAGTAGGAGGGATATCAGTAAGATGGAAAGCACCAAAACACTGAGTATCACACTTAGTTACTGCACAGGCATTTCCTCTAAGAAAACACTGACAAGCACTACTAAAGCATGACTAAAAGTCGGGATTTAATTCTATGTCTTTCACCTTTCTGGTCTGAGATATCAGTAAAAGATCCGGAGCTCAGATATTTCTCCTTATTAATGGCTCTCAACACTTGATAATTGCTTACCAGAAAATGGTTCCCTTTCTTCCATTATAATTAGTAAGCTTACCAGTACCTGAGACTAAGAACCAACAGAGAAATATTTTCTACATGTTCCTTATTTTCAGAGCTGAAGCAAGGAGCTAAATTATGTTATATTGCTGTGATATAACATAATATAATATTACTGCTTTTTACATTCCAAATCCTTGTACCTTATCTATTGTACCATTGTATTTATGAGTCAGATCTACATCACAGCCACTGAACTTCTGTCAGTGATGGCATAGCTGAAGGAGTTCTTTGGTCCATGATTTTAAGTGTTTTGGAAGGTAACAAGGGAAGAACCCAGCTTAATATCCAGACCTGGCTGAGTTGAAACAGGCATGAATAACAAGAGATACCCATGTGTTTCTAAATAAGGCATCCTGTGCTTCATTTTATTAATTTTATATTAATACTTTATAATGGTGAACTGCTCTTGAACACTGTCCTGTGGCTGATAGGACTTTCCCCCATTAAGTTCTAAAAACACGAAGCACCAAAGAACATCTTGGTCATCTATCTTGCTTACCTACAGAAATTTCCTGTACTTACATGCAGTGTTTGGTCTTACAAATGAAATTATAAATCTTTGACATCATCAGAGAGACAAGAAATTTAAAAGGTAGAGATTTGTGGGTTTATTCTGATTTTGCAATAAAACATGAGCTACACAACTGAGATCTGGAAGAAATTCTCATCATGAGCTACACAACTGAGATCTGGAAGAAATTCTCATCATTCTCATTCTGGAAGAAATTCATTATACCATGAATACCATATTCATGGTATAAGGAACCATGCCTACTAACCTGGAAAACTGGCAGAACTTACACAGAGTGCATCAGTATGGAAATCATACGGAAACAAGAAGGAAAAGCATGAAAAAAAGTATTGCGTTTAAATTAACACCTAGGAGCACTAAAATTGAGATAGTAATTTTAAGAAGAAATGCTATACTTGAATATTTTCATCTAAGTATGTTAACAAATTTATCATGACAATTTTAGGACTTTCTAAGATGGCTTTATAATCAAACATTATATGATAGATAGCTAGAAACACCAGAACTATTTTCCTTGCTGCCAAAGACACAGAAAAAACAGTAACTTTGGGGCTAGTAGGTGCTTTCACTGCAAATGGAAATACATTTCTTTCATATGTTTTCTTGCCTGAAATTTTTCATAGGGAATAAAACCCACTCTCAACCAGTTCCACATGTCATTTATCTGAGTTAAACTGTGTGGAATTAAACCTTAACAAGGGACTGATCTGAAATCTATAGAAATCTCTGGGACTCTTTCTATTAATTTCAGTAGTCTTTTGATCGGCTCTTACACGAAGAAACACATTTATAAGTCCCAAACATGGAACTCATTAAATTACGTTTCCTTTATTTTACATGTGTAATTTAAATAATTTTAGATTTTATAATTCCCAGTGAAAATATTTGACTCTAAGTTACATAAAGATAAGGGAGTTGTAGTGATATGGGAACCAGGACAAAAAACCAAGTTTGCTGGTATAAATAAGTCTTGTTCTATCAGCTTTTAAAAACTTCCATTATTTGCAAAAGATAAATGCATATATTAACTTTCATGCTCTTTTAGCAACACAAATGTGAACATCACGTTTTAGGTGCAGGTTATAAATATGGTTTAGTAAAACATTGGTTCAGCAAGATCTACTGGGGAAAGCAGTCAAAGGCAAAAGTTTTTACCTGATTAAACCAAAAACTGACAACATCCCAGCATGGCAAAATATGTCCAAAACCCTTGTGCAAAAGATCTGTGGCACCAAGCAAGAGGAGAGATGCTCAGCCTTAGGAGTAATGTTTTTGGGGAACACAGGAAAAGGTTGTATCTGTAATGGTGTAATGGCTTGAGACAACTCATGTTACAACATGTAAAGGCCAATACGTGCCCTCAATACGTGGCAAGGATGGAGATCTCTGTAAAATGGCATCGGGGCTGTTGAGCCTTGAGTGCTGACAGCCTGATGTGAAGTCATGGAAAAGCAATGACAAAAAAATGGATTTTTTTTTGTGTTTTGTCCCTCCCTCTCCCTCAGAAATGCCACAGCAGGAATGTGCTACTTGGGAAGAGAACCTGTGTTATTGTTTGATTTCTGTTTTCTGCCAAGGGCATTGGAAGAAAACAAGACTTTCCTGTTACAAGAGGGAAGAGTTTGCCAAAACTCTTATTTTTCTCTACTAATTTCAGTGTAAGAGATCTGAATGATAATACAGAAGGCTTATGTGCTAGCCATTTTACAGCTGTTTTTGTAGACTGCCTTTTGCAAGCAGTGGTTATTTATAGCATCCTAAAAACTGACTCCACAACCCATGAATGATACCTAAATTATTGGTATCAGTATCCATTTTTGTTACTATTCTTAGGTTTAAGTGAGTTGAACTGTAATTAAATAAAACAAGGAGTTTTAAAGATATTTTTTGATGTTCTCAGTGATCAGATATCAACATTCAGCAGTTACATGTTCTAGAAACACCAA